CCGTTAATTAATAAATTGTTGTTGTGGCATGTACAATTGGGAATATGTTTAGTTCCACAGTCTGTTGCTAGGTGAAAGTTTGAAGAGGTTGTTATGAGGTGAAATAACTTTGAGCAAAACAGTCTGTTGTTGTCTTTGTTATAGATTTTGGTTCTTGTCAAAAAAATTGAGAGAAACTCGTTAGTTGTAGGAATAAGCGAGCCATGCAAAAAAGAAGGAGCTCTCAAACATGTCGTCAACAAGGAGAAGATGAAAAAAAATAATGTAGAAAAAAAAATGTAGTTTAAAATGGGGGCAATCGAAATGAGAGTACATGGCGAGCATTAGGAAGTATAAACGGTACAAATAAAGGTGAGGAGCTCTATATTTTAATTAATTTAATTTAAGGGCACATTAGTAATTCACACATTTTATCTTATATCTTATCTAACAAAACAAATGGGTAACACAAAAGTTACCAAAATCCTATCTTGGACCAATCCTTAATAACAAACATATGTCACATATAATCTCAACAGTATAATCTCATCTCTCATGATAAGATTTATCTAATCTCATCTATTCTAACAAATGAGCCCTACATGTATTGTTTTTAAGTACGAACATAGGGTTTGAGTGGAACATACATGTTCTTTTATCTCCAGTACTTACCAGGTCCAGGCATGCATGTTGTATTGGTTTTTTGGTTCGGTATTTTTGGTATAAAATCGAAACCAAATCGAGTTTTCGATTACAAAAAATTTAGTAAGTGACAACAAATCGGTCGGTTTCAGTTCTACATTTCAGTGTTATCGAAACTGTCGGTTCGATATCGATAATCCCATATCGGTTTGGTTACCGAACCAAACCCCTAGCCAAATGTTATAGTATATCACTTTTAATATTGCATGATAAATTAAGTTATTTAATACATAATTGCAATCTCAATCATGTTTTCTTTGCATAATATAACCCCACCAACTGCAGGCCTCACCAACCAAGCAATTAATATATCATAATTTTTTGATGCTCTAAAAGTACAAATAATTAATTAATAAAGCAGCCACCGGTCTCAATATCGAATATATCGCATAAGCTTGCATAAGCTTGCATAACTTGGGGATAGATCCAAGTGTCCGATCCATTATATTTATATTTCTCGTATGTAAATAAATTCAGTTAGTTAAAAACACCGTTGATTATATGAATACTAGCTAAGACAATTATACTTAAATTTAAATTAAAATGTTAAAGTTTTATTATAAATTAGAAAAACTCCTAAAATTTATACTTAAATTATAAAAATGAAAGACACTACAACAAAATGGTCAAATTCCAACGGAAAGTTCCAATACAAATATATTTTAATGGAATTCTAATGAAAATTTCAACAAAAATATTTCGTTGGAATGAGTTTTTCATTGGAATTTCCATTGGATTTTGAATATTCCAACGGTAGATTTTCCAGCGGAGGTGGAAATAAAAATTCCAACGGAAATTGCATATTCCAACGTAAATTCCTATGGTAAAAAATCGTTGGAAAAATAGCCGTTGGAATCATCAAATTCAATCTAAAATTCCAATGGAAAATTCATTCCAACGGAATATTTTCGTTGGAATTTCCGTTAGAATGATTCCAACGGAAGCTATACCATTGGAATATCCGTTGGAATATATTATCATAGGATTTTCCGTTGAAATATAACATTTTTTTGTATTGAGAGGAATGTTTATATTTAAATTGTTAACACTTCTAAAAAATTATACTGTTACACTACAACAAAATAATAAAATTCTAATGAAAATATATTCAATGGAATTTCAACGACAACTCTAATGGATATTCCAATATTATTATTTCCATTGGAATTTTCCAATTGATTCCAACGAAAATTCCAATAAAAAGAGTGTTGGAATGAGTTTTCCATAGTAATTTTCGTTGAATTATGACAATTCCAACGGTAGATTTTCCAACGGGAGTGAAAATAAAAATTCCAACGGAAAGTACATATACTAAGGGAAATTCCTACGGGAAAAAAATCGTTAGAAAAATAGTCATTGGAATCAACAAATTTCATCTAAAATTTCAAGGGAAAACTCATTCCAACAGGATATTTTCGTTGGAATTTCTGTTGGAATCATTCCAACAGAAGCTATGCCATTGGAATATCAGTTGAAATTTCCATTGGAATATATTACCATAGGATTTTCCATTCGAATATAATTTTTTTTTGTAGTGTTACTTACATTTAAAATGACACTATTTAATTGTATGAATTATCCATCTTATTATAATATTCACTTGTGAGTTGTCTCACATCGTTTATATAAGAAAGTAGGCCTAATTTATATGTCAAATGGGTTACTCCTCCTTCCACCAATTGGTTTTTGGATGGAACCCCACTTGGGCTTCATCTGAGCTTTCCCTGCTTATTGTGCGCTTCATGTGCGTGGGACCGCACCCGTTTCCCGCCCGTTTCTTTCATGGTATCAGAGTCGGTTCTATGTGGGACCGTGCGATGATGTACCTGTTTCCCAGTCTGTTTCTAGTAGGACTTGGGCACTCCGCTCCGTATATGGGCTTGGGTTTCTTATGAAGGACTCACATTTGAGGGAGCGTATTAGAATATTCACTTGTGAGTCCTTCATAAGAAGTCCAAGCCCATATATCAGAGTTGGGTGCCCAAGTCCTACTAGAAATAGGCTGGGAAACGGGTACATTATCGCACAGTCCCACATAGAACCGGCTCTGGTACCATGTAAGAAATGGGGGTAAAACAGGTGCGATCCCATGCACATGAAGCGCACAATAAGCAGGAAAAGCCCAGATCAAGCCCAATGGGGTTCCATCCCAAAACCAATTGGTAGAAGGAGGAGTAGCCCATTAGACTTATAAATTAGGCCTATTTCCCTATATAAACGATGTGGGACAACTCATAAGTGAATATTCTAATACATCCCCTCACTTGTGAGTCCTTCATAAGAAGCCCAAGCCCATATACGGAGCAGAGTGCCAAAGCCCTACTAGAAACAGGCTGGAAAACGGGTACGTCATCGTACGGTATCATATTGAATCGGCTCTGACACCATGTAAGAAACGTGAGTAAAAATGAGGTACCCATTTCCCAGCCTGTTTCTAGTAGGGCTTGGGCACCCGGCTTCGTATATGGGCTTGGGCTTCTTATAAAGGACTCATAAGTGAGGGGGCGTATTAGAATATTCACTTGTGAGTTGTCCCACATCGTTTATATAGGGAAAATAGGCCTAATTTATAAGTCTAATGGGCTACTCCTCCTTCCACCAATTGGTTTTGGGATGGAACCCCACTTGGGCTTCATCTGAGATTTTCCTGCTTATGGTGTGCTTCACGTGCGAGGGACCGCACCTGTTTTACCCCCGTTTCTTACATGGTATCAGAGTCGGTTCTATATGGGATCGTGCAATGATGTACTTATTTTCCAACTTGTTTCTAGTAGGGCTTGGCAACCCGACTCTGTATATGGGCTTAGGCTTCTTTTGTTAGAACTCACAAGTGAAGGGGCGTATTAGAATATTCACTTGTGAGTTGTGTCACATCGTTTATATAGGGAAAATAGACCTAATTTATAAGTCTAATGAACTACTCCTCCTTCCACCAATTGGTTTTGGAATGGAATCCCACTTGAGCTTCATCTGGGCTTTTCTTGCTTATTGTGCTTTTCACGTGCGTGGGACCGCACCCGTTTTCCTTATGTTTCTTTCACATCTTATTCTATAATAATTTTTCTAGTTCGTATGTAATGACTTTATAGATAACGTTTAAAATCGATAATTTTATTTTACAATCAATATTAATAAATATAATTGTAAAGATAAATAAAACTATTTGTTTTATGTCGAGAGATGATTAATTTGATAACATAATATATGAAAAATAATAAACAAATATAAAATATAAAAAAAAATTAAAATATATTTGTAATTAAATTTAATCAATTGTCTTTAAAAGTTCTAATTCTAATAGATATGGATAGATATAAAGATTTACATGTTCCAACGGTTATGGATTGATATTTACATTGATTACTAAAAACACAATAAATTAACATAAAAATTACAAAGTAGTAATGCTAAGGAGCCAACAGCAAATGGGACAGCTCCATGTGGGGCTGTCCCACATTGGAGCCATGTGGGACAGCCCCACATGGAGCTGTCCCATTGGTTGTTGGCTCCATAACGGAGCCAACAGTTGACTTCTTAGCATTACTGAATTATAAAGTTAGTAATGCTAAGGAGTCAACTGTTGGCTCCGTTATGGAGCCAACAACCAATGGAACAGCTTCATGTGGGGCTGTCCCACATGGAGATAGATAAATAAACAAACTTGCCGTTTGTCATTTGTTATTAAATCCGCGTGGAAATGACTTTTCAAGAACAATATGCATCACCATTTTTTTCTTAAATGCAGAGTTTCTTGAATATATACGATAACTTCTGATCTAATTCTTCATGGAGCCAACTGTTGACTCAGTTATGGAGCCAACACTCAATAGGACCGCTCCATGTGGGGACATTTAATAACAAATGACAAACGGCAAGTTTTTTTATTTATCTATTTATTATTCTGTTTTCATGCTTTTTTGGCCTCATCTTCACTACTTAAAGCAACCTCATTATTTATTTATCTATTTATTATTCTGTTTTTATGCTTTTTTGGCCCCATCTTCACTACTTAAAGCAACATCATAAGAAAAGACCAGCTTTTTTGGCCCCATCTTCACTACTTAAAGCAACACTCCATCTTTACCTACCTCAAACCACTATTAATTTTTTGTTTTTCTTTTTTCCCTGAAAAATCACACCACCTACCTCTAACCACTATTTGAGTTCTTTTTTTTGTTTTGTTTTGCTTTTTTTTTTTTCCTTTCAAAATAACGNAACAATTAGAAAAATAAATAAATAATAATAATAATAATAATAATAATAATAATAATAATAATAATAAAGGATGAATGAATCCCATGAAAAAAAGGGTTGACTAGATGTTGGGGAACGTGTTCGGAACTTTTGGTCAACTGTTTGATGAGGTATTGCAATTATTGTATTTAGTTTCTATGTGCGTTTTGTCTTTGTGTGTTTTGTGGTTTTTCTCTCCTCTTTTCGTAGCGTGCATTCTCCTATTTAGGAATATATATTAGTCTTAATTTTTTTTTTTAAGTTTTTCTTTATTTTGTATTGTTACATGATATGTAGGCTATCTTAGGTAGACTTCTGATCTGAAGTCAACTCTTTAGTTGGTTCATTCGACTATTTAGTTACTTGTAAATGTGTATTATTAATATTTTCACTATTGTTATTATTGTATTATTAGTAGCTAGAAGTAATAATATAATCATCTTACCTTGTTTTCGTTATGATTTAAGTTAGCAGGTTAATGAGCTTGTCTGAAGCCCCATTTGCTAACAATCATATTATCCAATGATTAGGCTAGCAGGTTAATTAGCTGTCTGAAGCCCCATTTGCTAACAATCATGTTTCCAATGTGGTGTGGTGGGACAAACCAAGGTAATTGTTAAATCAATTAAATTTAGCTCCAAAAGAAGGAAGGGATTTCCCCTTAATATTCTATAAGTTCTAACCTTGCTCTCATATGTAACTAAGATCATTTCCAATCATCTATTCTAGTGTAGAGTATAAGATGCTAAAATTTAACTTTCATATTCAGTCGTTTGCGAAAAAATTTACTCTACAAGAAATATAGTAATAGAAATGAAATTTAAATACAATTACAAAATCAAAATTTAAAATTATTTAATAAAATAAATAATTTTATTGATGTATATTTTATCAAAATAATATTTAAAAATAAAAATTTATCAAAAAATAAAATATAAAAAAAAAGTTATAGTACGTTGAATAGTACCGCGCTACATGCAGCGCAATACTATTCATATCTTCAAAGTAGTGTGAAAACGTAACGCAATGTTGGAGAAAGTTTTTCGCACTTTTCTGGAGTAGATTAGCGTTGTGGTGCTGGGGTGGAAAAGCCTTAGTAAATCTTTTGCCCATACACATGTGAATGTGAATGAGATATCACATGTTAAATAACGAACATGTCTCATTTTATAAATATGATATGATCACTAAACAAATAAATAATTATAAAGTAATGTACTTGTATACAAACCGTTGTTGTACGAAATATAATGAATAATGTAAATTTTATAAATTTGAGGTATCATAACCAATAAATTAAATTATAAAATATTAAAATATTATTATAGCATTTTGTTTAAACCAAAAACATAATATTAATTCTAACATAATATTATAGTGTGAACTTACAGTTAGTTAATTTATTACTAATTATTATATGATAGAATAGTTAAAAATATATTATTGCACTTAATTGTTATAAAATGTACTAAACAGTTTCCACATTTAGATAAAAAATAATTAGCTTGAAAAATTTGTAATAATATTAATTAAATTGTCTCTCTTTTCACTCGTTTCCGTGAGAATCTAGCTATGAATAAGTGGCATTATTATTTGATTGTACAATTATGTTTGAGAATAAATCACACTAGTACAATACCCGTGTATTATACGGGTTTTAAATTAGAAAGCTTTTGTAAATAATATTAATTTTTTTATTTTTTTTAAAAACTAAAATAATTACATTTTATATAAAACATTACTTTAGGTTTTAATTAAATTGTCAAATTATATTTTTTAATCATAATAATTAAACACCTGTACAACTCATATTGAATTTTTTTACTTATATCATATAAAAGTATCGATATTATTTACTGTTACACACGTACAAAAATATATATCTTAAATAAATAGAAATAATATGGTGATATGTATATGCATAAGTGTAAAATATGTTTATTTAATATTAAGCAAAATAGATTAATTTTTTTACTTAATTAGATGCCTAATACATCAAGTGTCGTATATAGGGGCGGACGCAGACTTTAAGGACAACAGGATCCTTATGCATAATATTTGTTTTTTATAATATAATTTATAGTTTTATTTGATATAATTTAATTTAGTTTGATAAATAACTTTAAATTTTATTTATAAGGATATATATTACTGTTTTGTATTTTATATATGCAATATGGATGTCAAATTGAAAATCGTTAAAAGATAGTTAATTTGATATATCGTATATGAAAAATAAAATACAAACAAAAAAGTAATAAAATTTTAAAATAAGAAGAAGAAACATTTATAAAAACCAATGAATGAATTATATAAGAAATTTTTGATTGGTATAGGATTCTTCCGTCTAATTTTGTGGTTCAAACCTTCGTCTTGGGTGTCCAATGACGGATAGGCATTGTTGGGACTGGGTTAGAGCGCCAAGCAGCTCTAGATTCAGGGGCTATTGCTACAGTTGAACGTGGGGGAAAGATCATTTCTATAGATACTGACAAGATCCTTGTCTCGGGGAATGGAGATACTCTAAGTATTCCGTTAGTTATGTATCAACGTTCTAACAAAAATACTTTCTGGGAAGGGCGTGAAGATTGACTCGAACGGTTTTTATCGACCTGGGTAGGTCAACACGTAAGGTACCTTGAATGGTATGCAGATGCCTGCCTGAATTACTCTCTACGATTGAGGTAATCTAGCACCCTTATGCATCAAGATAAGCAATTCGGTCGTTGTGGTCGGACTCTATTATGGATTTCTGACCACATTCTCCATAGGGCCCTCTTATCTCTTCCTTCTCGGAACTCCCAAAGTGACGAGTTCAGATTAGCAGATCAGCTCAAGCCAGTTTACCAGTCCCAGATTCGAGTCGGAGTCTATTTCTATGTATTCTTTCGAGATTCAACCAGAATAACAAATCAAATAGTTCAATTTTGTGCTCAGCCGGAATTGCATTGTCCCTGTGATGCCTGAACCGGTGGCTCACTTTTTCTAAGTAATGGGGAAGAGGACCAAAACATGCCGCTGAAAGATGTGCCTGGGCTGTGAGGGCTCTCAGCCACATGAGATGTAGTAGGGGTTGCAAACCGGACGGTACACAACTTGGTTTTGGAAGATATGGAACTCAAAGTTGTAGAGCAGGTCGCCTCGTAAAGTGGAATGAAGAGAAAATTCCAAATCAAATAAGGTCGAGCTGATAAATAATGTCATCATTGCTCCTTCACTTGAATTTGACCGTCTTGGCTGACACAAACTATACCGCCGGCCTCTAGGTGATATATTCGAATAAAGTGAGAGAGAGTCAGAATAGAAAGCAGAAGCTCGCCCGGGAGGAATTCAATTCAAAAGGGCTAAAAGGAATAGAATTTTTAATGAATGAATGAACGGTTATATTGATAGTTTGACACCGATTTTGGCAAAGATTAAGCAAAAATATATTATAATATTTAGCAAAAAAATCCTATTTACACGGATATAAGATAAGAATCCTATTTGTTTTGGAGTTGGAGGGGATTGGATTAAGCAAAAATCCTATTTATTAAGTATTTTATAATATTATAATATTAAGCAAAAAATTCTATTTACACGGCATATAAGATAAGAATAAGAATCCTATTTATTTTGGAGTTGGAGGGGATCGGATTAAGCAAATATAATCGTATTAATTTTTATCCGAACCAAAAGCGAAGCATGTAATGTTGTCAAGTAAGCTTTCGAAGCGTGCGAGCCAGCCATTTAGGCTCAACAGGTTTTGAAATTATACTAATGGGGGATTCCAAGTGTTTTCTATTGTTATTAATTACTAGTATCTACCAGTGCTATACACAGAGAATATTTATTACCTAATTGCTTTAAATTGCATATTAATACACCATCTTCCATGTTTTTGCAATTTAATCATCACATTTACAATTTTGGAAATTATTACACCAATTTTACCATTTTTGCCAATCGATACATGAATGACGGTTCCGTTAATGAAAATCTGACATGGCATTTAGTCACGTCAATGCCATGTCAGATTTTCGTTAGATTCTTTTTAACGGAACCGTCATTCATGTATCGATTTGCAAAAATGGTGAAAGTGGTGTATTAATTTGCAAAATTGTAAAGGTGGTGATTAAATTGAAAGGTGGTGTATTAATATGCAATTTTGCCTTTTTTTTTTTTGGTACAAAGAGAGAGGCCAAATGCCAAAGGACTAAAAATCAACACATGTCTTGGATAAGCGACCCAGATAAAATCATGATATAACCAGTGTCGGGCCTCATCCGGCGGAGTATCTAATGGTAGAAAACCTCCTGGACTCCTTGCCGCAACTCTTGCCATGCAATCCGCAAAAATGTTGGACTCCCGATAGCCATGTAAGACCTTCACCGACCATTGCCTCCTCAACAACTCTCTTATGGCCTTGACTAATGCACTATGGATTTCCAGCTCCACATTCTCACCTTGTAACATCAAGAGAGCACAACGACTATCTGTTGGGATCTGTGAGGATCTCGTTATGTACAAGTCACGAATTGAATAGCAAACGTAAACCTATGCGCATCGGATCTAAAGGTTTGACGTAGAGAACTTACGGCTTAAAATTTATGTAGATCTGGTTGACCACGAACGGTTGACCGCAAATGATTGACCGCAAATCACGTCTTGGGTTGCACGAACAAGATCAGATCAAAACCGGATCAAACGGGTGCAAACGGATCAAACCAAACTTGCAGCCAGACAGCTTGCGACGGCATGTGAGGGCGCGTGCGGTGTCTGATAGCGGCGATCTCGGCGGCGATGAAAAGCTCTCGTTGAGACGGTCGTCTGGGTATGCTGTGCGTCTCAATCGGACCTCCGGTTAGTTCTGTAGGACAAAATATATTTCGTCTCGGTTTACCTACAGATCTTCTACTGTACTACTCAATACACCCTTCTTCAACTTAAGAAGAAGATAAAGCTCGAATGAGATCTAGAGAGAGAGGGGCGTGGGGTGTGTCTCGTTAGAATAGGAATTCTCTTCTCTTCTCATGAGTATAATGATGTATATATAGAGCTATAGGGACCCTTAGGAGATTAGGAAAATGGTTCCTTAATTAATTAGACTAACTGTGGGGCAAGCCCACTCCTATAATTAATTAAATAATATTAACGGGTCACCAACATTATATTATTGCACTCCCTTTCCTAGCCCAAATTATATTTGAGACTCCAATAATAATTACTCGATTTACCTCTCCACGTTTAAGATATAATGTCCATTAATTAATTCGATTACTGACAATCAAGAATTAATATTATCTTACCGAAGCTAGCGCTCGTTCATCACATTCTTATTATGCTGGAACTTAATCCACCTGTAGGGTTTAGCATAACAATCTTTCATGAACTCACTCCGGGGACATCATCAAACTAGCACACATGGTGACCATAAATATCCGAACAACACATCCTATATATAATAATATTACCCAAAACAGTAGGAATATTAACCAAGCGAACTGAACCTCACCCATGTGAATCAAAGTAATATATATTATATATATCTGCCTGTTTAATATCTTACGGGTTAAGAGAACGCAGTAATTAACCAAGGCTTAGTTCATTTACGACGATCAGTATAAAATTGAACTTCTCCTCTCTGGGATCCTGTTCAATATATAAATGTACTAGTGCAACTAATCAGTCAAGACAAACTGTACAGTTGACACTACAACCGTTCGGATGGGGTGTTCATGTCCATCTAGGTTGTGAACAACTATTCTTATTCGCAAGTGACTGATAGAGTGATCTTCAGTTCGCACGATGACGACCCACCCTATCTAAGTGCAGAACAACAGAACATAGAACTTGTTTAATCTAACACGATTCCCATTCATAAAGGGCAAATATGTAATAACATGCAAAGTCAAGCTTTCGGTATATAACACTAACACTATCAACCTCTGAAATGATGAGCTGATAAACTGAGTTCCATGCTAGTTGAAGGCCTTGAAAAAGTCCCCAAAGTTATGTCCCCGTGATCCAAAAAAATCCAACATTCATAATGAAGCTCTTAATCCACCGACCACAATGGTCACGTAGCACCCTTCCTAGCCATGCCCGTCGTCGGGTTAAAAGAGCCATCCGAATTTATTTTAATCCAACCCTCAGGCGGGGGTGACCATCGCACTTACACCAAATACATAAGCCACCCAACTTTCGTTCTCCCATGACCGCTACAGACACATTACTCCTCCAATGCGCTATTTCTCTTAAGACCCAATCCACACTAAAGTTCTCTCCTTTGAAATTTTTTTGATTTCTTGCATTCTAAACGCGCCACATTGCCAGGCCAAGAGTCATATCCCAATCCGTAATCTTCAGTTTTCGAGCGTTTGTTAGATTATCGATCAACCAGTCCTTCAACTCCAAAGTACAAAACCACGTCCACTCGGCCCTCGGTACCAGCCTTCTCCAGACTCTTGCCACACGTGGGCAATCCCTCAAAGTATGTAGCAAAGTCTCTTCTTCAGTTATACAAAAATCACACTTGTTGTCGCTTGAAAACTTTCGCCTACACCGTTCGGCATTGGTGAGTAGTCTCTTCCTCCCAACCAACCACAAAAAATTTTACACTCTTTGTGGTCCGCTCCAAGTCCATATCACTTTCCACAAACGTTTGCCACTTGAGCTTCCCGGGTGTAGTAAGCTCTCATAAGCCGATTTCGTTGTGAACACCGTCCTGTGAAAAACCCCAATACATTTTGCCTTCACCGGCTTCCACACACGGCAGCAAAGTTGCCGCCACACGCAAGCAAGCTGTTGCTGGAAGAAGATGGTAAAAAAGCTCTGATTTCCACGAGCCCCGTTCATTCACAAACGCATCTGCACTCGCATATAATAGATCTTCTCGAACCGGCGCAACCGCAAGGTTAAGCAATGTCTCCGAACAATTAAGCCACTGGTCCCACCAAAACAAAACCCTTTGGCCACTCCCAGAGCCCACCTCACTCCACCAACTAATCTTCGCCATATCTTGCTTAGCGCCTGTAGGATAATAGATCCTCTCGGAAACTTAAAGTTTTCATGCATCTCGAAGGGGTTTGGATTATATTTCGCCCTAACAATCTTAACCCACAATCCGTCGTTATTTTTGTTTAAAAAATTCCAGCCTAGTTTCATCAATAGAGCTTCATTCCTTAACCTCATATTCTTGAATCCCAAGCCCCCATAAAGCTTCGGATTACAAATAGACTCCCAGTGCACTAGGCTCACCTTTTTATTCGACTCTGTTCCTCCCCATATAAATCTTCAACACTTCTTTTCCAATTCATCACACACAGAATACGGGAGTGAAACTATTTACATAGTATAGAAGGGCAAACAACTAACCACTGACTGAGCCAGCGTGACTCTACCTGCCATTGATAGCGACTCCACTTCCCAACTGCTCAGTCTTCCTTCAGTTGTTTCCAAGATACTCCGAAAAGTTTACTTTGTAATTCTTCTGTGAATCAGAGGTACTCCTAGATGAATGTTGTTTTGGATTTAAATTGTCTAATAAATGAATTCTCATGACATTAAAATATCATGAAAATGAAATCTATATATTATTAAATACTTCCTTATATACAACATTTTTGCTTTGATAAAGTTTGCATAATTGATTTATTATCAAACATGTTCATGGGATATACATGATTCCACTCATGGAATTGATACCAAAATAACCGATCAGAAATTATTTAACCAAAATATAAAAACAAAAAATTATTGAGGAAATGTAAAATGAATAAACAATTTTTCCTAAATGTGCAACAAATTGTTACCAAAAAATTGAACTGAACATTGTCATCATAATCTCACGGTTATAAACAATAAAATGTCATGTGCTTTTTAAAAGATATCATGTAAACATCAAAGAAACACCGATTTTTATTCCAAATTATTTGTTTTGAAATTAATTCACCAAATATCAATAAATTTGGTTAAGATAAATGAATCCACAATTTTGGAGTAAAATCAAATTTTGAAACGTTGCACACTGCTTTTCCTTAAAAATGAAGTAGAACATGATTTAAACTATTTTTTTTTCATAATTCACACATATTTGTAGCTGAATTCACTCGTATTTGTTAGTTATTATCCCATAGAGAAGAACGTTTGTAATCATAAATTAATCTTTAAAAAATTTGAATCACACGTCTCAACTAAGGTTGCCGATAATTTAAAATAATACCATATTATAATGATAAGGTTTGTTTAAAAAAATAAACATAGTAGAAAGAGACAAACATTATTGATTTACCATATTATTTTGATAAGGTTTGTTTAAAAAGACAAATATAATTGAAAGAGATAAACATAATTGATTTACTACCAAGTATGTTTATGGGATATGCATGATTCTATTGATGGAATTGATACCAAAATATTCGATTTTGATTTCCCAAGTTTGTTTTTTCATACATTTATGGATGAAAATAAATATACATTTGGATTGAGGGAGTTGGAACCCATTCATTTCAAACTCTTTGAAATTCAAGTTTGCTACTTTCAAACTATTTGTATAGATATGTGAAAAAGATTATAATATATTGTCTAGCTCGTGACAATAGCATTGACTCACGGTTATGATAAATCTAGATAAAATGACATACTTGCGCGCCAAAGTATGATAATTAGAGAATTTCAATTGACTAGATTTGAGAAGTCATATGGAATCCAATATATCCTGCTCATTATCTATAGGAATTTTAAATGACTTCATAGAGCTAGCTTTTTCTTATTCACTTTATTTCAGCATTCTAAGAACCACCACGAACCAACACTTCATCGCGAGCCAGACAATGAATTTTTTTATTTATATAATTCATCCATATTCAAATAAAATTATTAAAATTTGAAATTTAAAATTCAAACAACTTATAATCTATTCGTTTGAAATCTCTAAATCAATTTTAAATCTCCCAATCCAAACATAATTTAATTTTTTGTTCTCATATTGTATGTTCTAATTGTCTTAGTAATTGGAACCAAACTTAGCAAATTATCTCGGCTGCAAATAAACCCCTCTTGCATATAATTCTCGAATGTGTTAAGCCTAAGTAGCAGACTTGCATGCTTCTATTTTCATGTTTTGTCATTTGACTTGGATGAATTTTAATTTACTTTCAATCTAAACTAATTGGACCTGAAATATTAATAAATATACTAGATACTTATATTTTTTTAATAACATTTATTAAGCTAAATTTCTCATTCTAGACATGGTTTATAAGACATAATTTTTTCTCAATCTTTCTTTATTCGTCATCTTTCTTTTAAAATTATAAAAAAATTACTAACTTAAAATGTAAGTAGATTTAAAGTTAACAATTCTTTTAATAATTATCGGTTTTTTATATATTATATATCAAACTGATCATATCTTCATGAATTTAGATTTGGCACCTACATTTTACATACAATATAAATAAATAATTATATTTATCTTTATAAATTACCTATTAATATAAATTAATAAATTAAAATTATTTAAATTAATTTAACTAAAAAGTTGTTATCAATTAAAAAATTTTTATAATGTAAGATGACATGTTGTATAAGTAATGAGTGTCGTTTTAAATATAAATAGTAATATATTTTTTTCAAAAAAAAAGTATTTGACAATTAAAATAATTTTTTTCGTTATTAATTTTAATTTTAAATTAAATTTCTTAATAAGTACTCGTGTAATACTCATGTATTGTACTAATTAATACATAAAGATATAATTTTGCCTTACCAATTAATCTACGTCGATGTGATATATATAGATACAATTATGCTTACCAATCAAGTAAGGATCATGATGTTGTAGCCAGTGTTCTAAAAGTCGCTAGGCGCCCGCTAGGCGCTCGACCAGTGCCTAGTGCCTAGAGCGCCTAGTCGGAGCCCAGGAATCAATAATAAATACTTTATTTTTTTATTTATTTTAACTATCTACAAAATAAAATTATCTCAACATATAATAAATTCACACCACAAAGTCCAAATAATAATATTAATATATATTAAAGAAAACATGAGAACAAAATAATGTAATTAGTATTTAAAAAAATAAAAAAAAAATTAAAAAAAAATTGAAAAATTATCGCCGAGTCCGCCTAGGAGTGCCTAGGTCCGCCTACGCCCGCCTAGACGCCGCCTAACCGCCTGGCCGCCTAGGAGCGCCTAGTGCCGCCTAGGCCCGCCTAGGCGCCTCCTAGCCGCCTGGCCGATTTTTTCTGCCGATTTGTACAAATCGGAGGCGCCCGGGCACCGCCTAGCGCCTAGACCGATTTTTAGAACAGTGGTTGTAGCCAACCTAAGTATTTATAATTTCTAGCTATTTTACTAGATCGGAAAGGGACACAATCGCTGACCTTTTTATTAGACTTTGTTCAAACTTTATGTTTTGTGCAAACTTAATACATGAGTTAAAATTGTTTTTGAAATATTTTTATTATCTTCGTTGGAAAACGCCTTAAAGTGAGTGAATAAGTGTGGTTTTCTTAAGAGAACCAAATGATTTTTTTATGAAACCATCTACCCCTTAATGTATTGACACCTATTTAAATTATATTTATTGATGACCCATAAGTCGAACTGGATCCATATCAAAACTGTATATAAGATAACGACTGCAAATGATTCACATCACAATAGCTACTAGTGGGTGTTCTTAGTTTTGTAAAAACTTATATAATTGAAAATTCATTAATAAAATAGACTTTTGAAAAAATCTTTAAAAAATCACATAATTATGACAAATAAAATAACAGGACACAATATAAAATTCTTAAAAATCTTAATAAAATCACATAATTACTGATTAATGAACAGATTGTGTTTGGACTAGCAACCATTTCTTGATGAATAGAGTGAATGTAATGGCTTAAAAGATGATCAGACCCCTTTATAATTATCCAAACTTTTGGGGCAATTTTGGCAACCAACCCTACATTTCAACCAACCCCACTGAACCAATATTTTTATTTTTTCTGACAACTCCATTTTGCCAATCCCACCCACAAACTGAGAGAGAGAGAGAGAGAGAGAGAGAGTTTTACTTGCACCAAAAGCTCAACTGGAATCTTAGGTCTAACCTATATTAAAGAAAATGGAGGGACGGTGAACAAGTGAGGCGGCGGCAATGGAGGTGGCAACCCAATTAGACGGCGTCGTATGGGACAGTATCTTGGCGCAAACTAAGTTGGCCCAAGAAAAGGGGTGCGACCCATTGCTGTGGTCAATCCAAGTTTCCTCAAACTTGAGCTCTGTTGGGATCAGTTTGCCGTGTGTTGAGCTCTCCAGTCATTTGGTCTCGCACATTTGCTGGGAAAACAATGTGCCTATTGCTTGGAAGTTCTTGGAGAAAGCTTTGGTTCTCAAGATTGTGCCACCCTTGCTTGTTCTTGGCTTGCTCTCAACTAGGTCTTTTCTTAAAGTTAACTTTTTTCTTATATTGTTTTTTTGGTTTTGGTGTGTGTGTGTGTGTTGGGGGTTCTGTTACATTGATTTTGTGGACATGTTCCAAGTTTTACTACTGTTTGTTCTTTAAAATCTATTGTGTTTGTTTCTGTTCTTCATACATATATGTAGTTTTTTGTTATTAGATTTTCTCTTTTTCTTCTGTTATCTGGAAGAAAAAACACTATGAAGTTTGGTTACAAGGAATTGGTACAAACCTTTTCTGGTGATTAGAGGTTGTTGATTTGTAGTGGCAGCTGTATTTCTCTAGTTCTGATTGATTGCATTTCTATGGCGTGTGATTGACTTTGTATGGTTTGTTACGGGATGTTTAACTCGACTGACTATGTCATAATTTCTCGTGATGTACCTGTTTCATATTTTCTCCTAATAATTACCTCAAGTATGGAATGGCAAGGATTTGTTCTGTTACTTTTCTCTCTCATTT